ATATGTTTACACAGTACATTGGTCTTACTAGCTCCTCCCACTGTGCAAATAGTTCCACGAATATAAGTTTGGCATTTGAAAAGACCACAAATACTTTTGACCCACTTATATTTTGTAAAAACAGTTTGCCTTACTGTGTGTCACTGGAACATTGACTGGTTATTTCTTTATCAGTAAATAACGCCTGTGTTTTAAGAAAGTCTTAAGGGACTAGGACATAACCTTGCCTCTAATTCAATCTGGCCAGTATTCTCATGAACTGTCTCAGCATTTTTATAATGCTACTGACAAGTAATAGCAACCCATTTTTGCAGATAAGAATGTTGAAATAACATAACAACTTAGATATATCAGCTCAGACCTCCTTATTCAGTAATGTTTCTCCCATATATACTGCTTCCAAAATAATATGGCTCAAAATCAAACAAGCATATTCACGTGTCAGATGACAAGTTTACATAATCCCTTAGTTATAGACACAGCTTCAGAAGGAGCTGGAAGGCATCCAAACACAGTAATATAATCTTTGTAAAATGAGAGATAAAGAACTAGGAAATAGTCCAAGAGGCTTTTAGATGATAACAACCTTCATAATCATTAAGCTTATTGATACCTACTGAGATACAAAACAGAATAAGAAGCAATTCATTTCTAGGCTTGATAAGTGGCAGAGAAACAGGATTTTCCTGCTATGTTTTGTTACAGCTTCATGTCAGTAATAATCACAAGAAACTACTAGATAGGCTGTACAAGTGGTTCCCTAGTTTTGTTTTGTTTTTTAATAAAAAACAAATGAATTAATGTCTTGAGGTGGATTAAAATTTCTAAGTAATTTGTTCATATCAGAAATTTAAGTATAAATCACTTTAACATTATGACCAACCCCTGTTAAGTACGCGCTCCTGGCTTAGTTTGTCAGGCTGATTCTAACAAAGAACACCCAATAGCTTATAAACAACATAAATTTCTTTCTTGCAGTTCTTGGATCTGGGAAATTCAAGATTCGGGACACTGGCAGATTCAGTGTCTGTTGGTGCCCATTTCCTCGTTCATAAACGGTGGTTTCTCACTATTCTTGCAAAATGGAAGTGGAAAGACTGCTCTGTGGAGCCTCATTTATTAGGGCACTGATCTCATTCATGAGGGCTACCCCATCATGACCTAATCTCCCCAGCCCTACTTCCTCATACCATTTACACTGGTGACTAAGTCTCAACATAATGAATATTAGGGGAAGACAGACCTTCAGACTATAAGAACCACCATTGTAAGCTAATCAGGCATTATTAGTTTGTAGTACCTGCTTTCCTTTTTATATACCAGCAATGTAGGCTCTAAAGTACTTTTAGTAAGTCCTGAAGATAGCATTAACTGAGCTTCATATTTTCAAGTGACCCCTAGAAAATGCATTTGTGGTAGAACGCAAATTGAAAACAAATGTATAACTCTTTCATGGTATGGCTTTGGTTCCAAGGAAATCTATCTGCCGCCTAAATATCTCTCTTCATGCTAACTTATACCTTTGCCAAGTAATACCACATTAAATTTGTCAACATCAGCCTTTAATACATAATTTAGAATAATGGATATATAGAAGGAAAATGGAGGATATTATAAACTGTGCTGTTCACTGTAGCTCGCGATATGTGTTAATTTGAATCGAACTTTAACAAAAATAAAATGTACAGTGTAGTTCCTTCATTGTACTAGCCACATTGAAAGTGCACAGTAACAGCCCCCTGTAGCTGGTGGCTACCATATTGATAAGACAGATGTAATATAACACAGAAAGTTTTGACAACAGTCCAGGAGGTACTCACAGGTACAGAAAGCACTTTGGTTGATAATGGCTTATATACTTATATTAAGATGCCCATATGATGGCTTCTCAAAAAGAAAAGCAGCCAGATTATTCATAAATAAAACATTTCATTTCATCATGCTAACATAAGTTACTTTTACATTTATAAATCCAGTTTTTTTCCCTAAAAGTACAACCCTAAAAGATTCACAAATGCAGAACTTCCAAAGGCCACATATGCAGAATTAAATGTAGAACTAATTCAGGATTCCCATATTTTGGAAAAATAATTTTTAAAACCACAATTTTTTTCCTTTTGTTTTATGCTTTATTTATATATTGAGGTGGGTTTTTTTTAAGTAACAGAAACCATGCAGTATTTAAGCTTGTGTCTCATTTTTTTCACTTAACATTATGATATCAAGATGCATCCATTTTCCTACAAATGACTCAAGTTTATCCTTCTTTATGGCAGAGTATATATACTCCATTGTGTATGTACCACATTTTCTTTATCCATTCATTTGTTGGTGGACATATAGGGTATTTCCCAGGTTTAGCTATTATGAATTGTGCTGCTATAAACATGGGTATGGATGTATCACTGTAATATGATGTCTTTAACTGTTTTGGAAAGATACCTAGAAGGGGACTAGCTGGGTCAAATGGAATCTCTAGTTTTAGTTTTTTAGGGAATCTTCATACTGATTTCCATAGTGGTTGTATTAGTTTACACTCTCACCAACAATGAAAATGTGTCCTTTTTTTCCCCACAGCCTCACCAGCATTTGTTATTGGTTGATTGCTTGATGACAGCCATTCTTTCTGGAGTGAGATGGAATCTCAGTGTTCTTTTAATTTTCATTTCTTGAAAGGCCAGTGATGTTGAACATTTTTTCATGTGTTTATTGGCCATTTGTACTTCTTCATTTGAGAAGTGTCTGTTCATTTCAGATGCCCATTTTTTATTGGATCTTTAAATTTGGAGGGGGTCCTAATTTTTTTTTACTTGTATATGTACTCTGGATGTTAGTCCCTTGTCAAAGGAGTAGCTGACAAAAATGTTTTCCCATTCTATATGTTGTTTCTTCACTCTGTAGGTGGTTTCCTTTGCTGTACAGAAGTTTTTTAATTTGATGTGATCCTGTTTTGTGATTGTTGGCATTATTTCTTGTGCAACCTGGGTTTTATTCAGGAAGTCTTTGCCTACACCTGTGTCTTTAAGTGTTTTACCCATTTTGTCTTCTAGTAGATTGCTTCTGTTCTAATGTTTAAATCTTTGAACTATTTTTATTTTACTTTAGTACATGGGGAGAGATCTAAATCTAGGTTCAATCTTCAGCATGTGGATAGCCCATTTTCACAGCACCATTTGTTCAAGAAGCTATCTTTCCCCCTCCAATGAAAGGATTTGAACCCGTTGTGAAAAATAACATAGCTGAGTGTGCCTGAAATTAGCATATTTTCCATTCTGTTCCATTGATCCACAAGTCTGTTTTTTTGCCAGTACCATGCTGTTTTTATACGGATAGCTTTGTAGTTTAACTTGAAGTCTGGGATCATGATACCCCCTGCCTTGCCTTTTGCCCAGAAAAAGCAATATTTAAGAGAAATTTTTCAGGCATGATGACTTTGTTTATCCCATACTGGGTTACTCTTCTGTCCCACGTGTGTTTTTCATTAGCATCTTCTCCACAATGTGTTGTCATTTTTTAAATTTCTGTCTAAGGACATGAATCTGTTTGTATTATGACTGTAGTTCCTTGGTAGCAAAGGTCAACATATAACCCTTTGTGTGTCATTATCTTGGGATGAAACCTCTAAGTGTCAGTCGTATACTCCCATGCTTTCAACTTTGTGCACAAAGTGATTGTTCTAACAGGAATATAATCATCTGTCCCTTAGGAAAAATGATAAAATAATTTGTCTTTCTATGGCTTTTTTCTGGTAGCTCTTCTATTAGCCTGACTCCTAGCAGAGCCAGAGAAGATTTAGGATGAGCCTGAAACATCTCATGGGAGAAAGTAAAAAAACACTACAAAATTTTTTTAAAGAATAACCAGTAGAGCTAGGAGCCAGCCTAAAGTTCTTTCAAAATCTGGGAAAATTTGAGCATCAAAATACTTAAATAGATAATGAATTATCATTGAAAAATTAGGAACCTTAGAGTCCATAATGATGAATGACAGAGAAGCAGATGGACAGTCAGCTAGATGGAGAAGAGAGGAAGTCTTCTGTACAGTAGAATGCTGGCTGATCAATATGACTAGCACAGTAAAGGTGGAAAATCAGCACTTTACAACTGTTATGGTTGAGATTGGTTTGGGGAAGAATTATCCATAGATGCTAAATAGAAGGGAGATGTTTTGTCAGGGAGCAGGATGATTGCATAGTATAAATTACCTTCCTTTGTACTGTTACTTTGGTTACCAGGTGGGAAAATGTAACTATAAAATAGAAAAAACAGTGAGAGGCAAAGGATCTTTGAATGTGATTGGCTTCTGAATGCCCATGGGAGCATCAGACGTCACCTGTCATACTCATATGTGAGTGGGCCACATGACCTGAATTTCATCACGAGGAACATCAAACAAAACCAAAATGAACAATTTTCTGTTTTAAAAGTGGCCTTAAAAATGTCAGTGTCACAAAAAATGGGGAGGTGTGGGGTGGGCCAAGATTAGAGAACTATCCCACTTAAAGGAAACTAAAGAGAATGCAACAACAAAATGCAGTGTACGATCCAGGGCTGTGTCGTTGAGTAGAAGTGAAAAACATGTTAAAAGGGAGATAATTCGTATAATCACCCAAACTGGAATATGGAGAGTAGATGAAATTAAATGCATTATGTTGATATTGAGCCTCCTAAGGTCTATAACTGTGCTATGATTGTATTAGAGAATGGCTTGTTCTTAAGAAATACAAAGTGCATTGTTTTGGTTTTGGCTTTGGTACCGGGAATTGAACTCAGGGCCTTGTGCTTGCCAGGCAGGTGCTGTGCTGCTGAGCTCCATTCCCAGTCCTCATAGTGCAGTATTAAAGAGTGAGCGGACATTATGCCTGCAATGTATTCTCAGATGATTCAAGAAAATAGTTGTGTGTAGAAAAGACAGTATCGTATAGGAGCTCTGTTAAGTCTTGGAACTTTTCTGTCAGTTTGAAACTTTTTAAAAATAAAATTCTATCTGACGTTTTCTAGCCCTTTCTAAGGCACAAAGTGATGTGATGACAATGAAGATGCAGTCAGAGAGACTTTCAAAAGAATATGATCGACTCTTGAAAGAACACTCAGAGCTTCAGGTGGGTGCCTAGCGCTTTACGGATCTAGATTTTTTAAAAAATATTAATTACTTGAGTAAGTTATGTGGGTTACTTGCCCTTCCCAATTCCAGATGATGTACTTAATCCAGGCTTTGTTAAATGTTTAAGGAATCCAAGTTTACCTAGAGGATGAAGATTAGGACATTACAGGAAAATACAATAGGCTAACTTACAGCTTTCCACTTTGGGTGAAGTCTTAACAAAAGCACTGATCTGAAAAAGTGGCAATACTGAAAAAGAGACTGGTTCTAGAAAATTTTAAGTTTTTCTGATTAGAATATTAGCTACTAGTCATAGCAAAATGAGGCCAAAAATTGATGTTCTGCATCACAGTATTGTGTGAGGCGTCACACTTCTGTTGTCTCAGTGTTTCAGATATCTTAGGACAAAAGACTATAGCATTCAAATATGTGACTTATCTCCAAAGTTGATTTGAAAGATAGAAATGGGAAATAAGGGCCAGGGATTTAGCACAGTGGTTCCGCTGCCTGCCTCGCAAGCGCAAGGTCCCAAGTTCAATCCCCGGTACCAAAAAACAGAAAGAAAGAAATGGGAGATAAATGTCAGATCTGGGTATGAGGTTTTCTTTCTGTGCCCCTCTATTTCAGTGAGAGTCAGTTCTAAACATTCATCCATGCCTAATTTACCTTTCCCTCCTCTCTTCACCAGCCAGCCACTAACCTGAATTGATTTCTCAGCCACGTTTTGATCATTAGTGGGAGAAAATTGTGGCTAGATAGGCCATTCCAGAGGGCTGCTGACATGTGGCAAATAGGCACTGTACTCCTGACTTTGGAGTCAGATAGGACTGAAATGCACATCCCTGACCTCATACTAACTTTGATCTTAAGAGGTTATTTCATCCTTCTAGATTTACTTTCTTCATCTATAAAATTAGAGTAACAGGGGATTTAGCTCAGTGGTTTTGCCACCTGCTGCACAAGCTCAAGGACCTGAGTTCGATCCCCAATACTAAAATTAGAGTAACAATGCCTGGTTCATTGGTTTGTTGGGAAAATAAATTAGAAATGTATTATCAGCACTGTCCCATGTTATAGTAATATTGCTATTATCGTAATTATCATCATCATCATCAGTACCACTTCTGTGGAATTTTTTACTGGAAGAATGACCAGCCACTTCAGCCTTAGGTTAACTAGTCAAGAAGCATCCCCAAACACATTTGTAAAATGGTTTTCCTAGTTGGTTTGCATGTTTGATTTAACTCGTGGTCTTTGACAATAGCAAGCAAAAAATAGGGCAGCCTTGGGATGGATGGATACCCTGTGTGCTCCATTCCCCAGACACTGAGGGCTTTGTTCGCATGATCTGGAGGAGGTAGGTAGATTTTTAGCAAGACCGACCCTTCCGCATATCTAGAGTTCCTAAAATCTCTGACCTCCTCAGGGCATGATAGGAATTACTCCGTGATAGGTGCAAGATCCACCATGGGAAGTACAGAAGTCACTTTATACTGAGCAGCTCACCTAGGTACTTTTTTCCTCCTGGTTCTGAGGTCAGGGTGTACTCAGCTAGGATTGAGTATCCATACAGGTGGACTTTGCCAGGGTGTTGGAAATGGTTAGAACCCAAGGAAAGGAAAACTAGGAATATACCCTCAATTTCTTATGGCCAGTGTGCACTGCTTAATGTCTCTATTGTGGTAATAACTAATCTGTAAAAGCTAAAGGTCACTCTCAGGAGCCCTGAAGGATATGTAACAGTAAGATTCCTCGACTCATTTCCCCACCCCACCCCCTAGAAAGCCACCTCCAACTTGGAGAGTTCACATTCTTGGCAAAGGATGTAGAAAGGTTTTATGAGTAATTCCTTCCTTAAAAAAAAAAATTGTTATACCTGTTTCTTTGGGAAAGGACCCCATCCCAGATATACTAAGTGCCATGCTGAGTTGGCTGTAATTGGATAGCACATTTAGGCCTTGAACTAATTTCTACTTGCATCCCACTCTTGAAATATCTAATAGGCGACATTTACTGAGTGTACACTTTGGACAAAGCACTTGGCTAACTGATTCATATATGCTGTCAGGTTTACTTCCTATGAGAATTCAATAAATTAGAAGATTTTAATGTCCCTAGTTTGTGGGCTTGGGAATTGAGAACCAGAGATGTTCTGTAATTTACCCAGAGTCACTGAACTAGGAAGTGGTAGCGTTGAAACTTGGCGTTCAAAGTCAGGAAGTCCTTCTCCAGAACCTCCATCATTAAGCATGTTCTTTAGCCTGTGCTGGTCAGGACTGTGTGTTCTTAGAACCATTGTCTACCCTCCACTGTTCCATTCCGTGTCGCAAGGAGGGAGTTGTGTTGCCCAGGATCCCTTACATCTGACTTCTGGGCAGATTTAGCCCAAAGGAAGGAAGGAAAACAGGAGCAAAAAGTAGGAAACAAAGCAGGAGCAGAGAGAGAGTCAGGGATTTCACCTACTCTCTCTCTAGGTACTATCTCCTTTGTGGTTCCACATCCTTCCTCTGCAGTCCCAATTCCCACAGAGCAGCATCTACCTACTGGCCCTAACTCCTGGGCTCTGTCCCTCCAGCCCTAAAGTGGTGGTGTTTTTCTGCTGCTGCTAATCCCTTGTGGTACCTTTACCACTGTGTCTGGTGGGTCTCCTCTCTCATTACCTATAAAAACCAATTCCCTGTAATAAATATCTCAGGTTGAAGGGCTGAAAAGCCTCAGCTCCTATAACCCTGAGCTCAATGATTTGACATTCATGTACCTTGACTACTTCATTACTTGAATGAGAATTATAATACACTGTGAACATCACATCACATCCAATAAAGCACTTGAAATACTTTTAATCAAGAAAAGGTCTGTGTAGCCATAAGGTGCATTCAACTATGTCTTGATTAGTTACATTTTTTTTCCATCCACTTACCCAACTCCCAATTGTCCAGTGTAAGAATCTGAAATTTAGATATAATTTAGACCATTTTCTTACACATGTCTCCTGAATTTTAATGTTCACCTTCAGAAAAAGCAAAAGGTAGCTATAAACTATCCATAGTGAAAAGCTAAATCAGAGGCCAGGGATGTAGCTCAGTGGTGCAGCCGCCTGCCTCGAAAGCTCAAGGTCCTGAGTTTGATCCCGGTACCAAAAACGGAAAAGCTAAATTATTTGGCCTCATGAATTTTACTTCTGTTGTCAACCTTAGTAATAGTATATAAAACTTTCATATTATAAAAAATTGTTAAAACATTAGGAAAATAATTGAAAGGTAGGAAAGCTGGCTTCTCTTCTGTAATCAACCCTCACTTTGCATTTTTTAAATCTATGAGGATTTCCCCATCTGGTGTCCTTCCTGTTATGGGCACTAAATAAATATTAGAAAACAGTCCCTTCAAATCATGTAGCCTTTGCCTTTCCTTATTTGCCTTGGCTGTCTTCTAAAAAAGAAAAAGAACCGATGAAGAGATGTTGGCAGCACAAACGTGTCAGCATCTGCCAGTTCTTCAATTTGATTTTGGGAAATCACCCTTCACATTAGGGGCTGGTCCTTAATAACACTTCCATTAAAGTTTTCATTTTTACCTAAAGTGGTCTAATATGTATAAACATGTAAAAGTGTTATCATTCAGAATACCTTCTCTAATCCTGTCTTATTTGATGACCTAAAGTCAATGTTAAGTTGCTCTGAAAGCATTAATATTCACTCAGCCTGTACGACAGTTTGAACTTTCTGTGTACAATCAGTAATGCTCTGCAGTTCCATTTTATGAGATTTCTTTCTTGACGTTGACATTTACTTTCTTTCGTCAGGTGATCTCCTAAGATTAATTTCTATTTCATTTTCCTCCAGATTCAAACGCTGTATTATAGTCATCTTTATAACATGATCAGGAAAGTATAATTTGAGAAGCCAGTTCTAATTTGAGAAAGACCAAAAAATACTAAGCCATCCCAACACAGCTTTTCTTTTGTGGATTTTTTTTTTTCTTGCTTCCCTTTATTCTTTCCTTGCCAAAAAATCTTCGTTGGTTTTGCAGTAGGGGAGTTTTTGTCCTAACTAGCCCATGTTTGCAGTACATAATGATTCCATTCCTCTTGGGGAACTGGTTCGTGTACAGAACACACCTTCATTCTTTCTACGCCCCTTCCCCTTCCCTTCCTCCAGGTCTTGGTCTCAGTAGGGGAATTTAAATTATTTTGTTTTCCTGGAGTAATGCGTGACACAAAAGCCCAAGAGGTTAAAGTGTAGAGAAAATGAATTTATCAAGAGTGTAAACATGTCTCCTGTAATCATTTTTTCAAGCAAAACTCAAATTTTATAGTTTTTAAAATTTAAGACTTTGTCAGTCCGTTTTCACGTTTGATGCTTCTTAAAATTAATAACTATACATAGAAAAGAGAACGCTTTGTAAAAGTCCGTGAGGGGCCGGGGATTTAGCTCAGTGGTTCCGCCGCTGCCTGCCCTGCAAGCGCAAGGACCCGACTTCGAACCCCGGTAACGAAAATAAATAAATAAATACATACATACATACATACATACATACGTACATAAATAAATGTCCATGTATCAATGGATGTGTTTCTCTCTGTTGTTGATCCACTTATATGCCATATTTTTTTCCTTACAGAATCGTTTAGAAAAAGGCCATAAGAAAGGCCTGTGAACTTTATGAAAGAAGACTGGAACACATCGGGTCAAGATAAATTTGTTAGTTTGGCAGCCACAAGAAAATTTAAAATTCAGTTTAGAGAAGTGCACTATGACTGGCCAACAGTTTCTATTTTTAATGCCACACATAAGGTGTATAGTAATAATGCTGTCAAAATGTTTGATACTGTTTCAGATATATTATAAACTATATATTCTAGCTCTTTAAAAAACTATAAGCATGTTAAATTCCATATTTACATGTTGATAATAACATTGGTGTATGATGGCTATTTACAAATAAAAGAAAAAATTCATTGCCCAGTTACTTCCAAAATTAGTTTTTGAAAGTTGCATGAAACCATTAATAATAGCCTTCACACTTTTGATGGCTTTTCCTTAATACTATAATTGGATGAATATGCCAATGTGTTTGAAAGTAGGACTCAGTATCAGCAAATCTGTTTACAGGGAAATTAAATGAGGATAAATAATAAGAATTAGCCACTGTATATATAGAAAAGACTCAGAAGGAATAATGAAAACAAATCACCTTTTTTTTTTTTTTGAGTAACAGTACTACGGTTTACTGCAATAACAAGACAGCTGTATCGATAATTATATTTTTGTTACTGTGCTTCTGCACCTGTTGGACTGTTTTTTTTATTGACATTTGTGTTGGCACAACATATTTAGTAAGTATTCTACCTCTTCAGGTTCCTCTAGCAATAGAGTTGACATCTCTTCACATAGCTGTCACAGCACTGAACTGAGCTGATTTTGCAATGTGGAATTCGACTGAAAGAGTTACTATATAACATGTCCAAAAAGCAGTGTTTTCTCTGGATGTGACAGTTATACAAATCTTACTTCAAAGCATGCACACTGGTGTCACATAGTTTCTCTTGGATGTTTCTACATTCTGAACATTAAATACTATTTTTCCATTCAGTATTCATTTAGAGGTAATGATTATAATATTAATTTGATTTTGTTTGTTTCAGTGTTTAAACATGAAAATCCACTTCCTTGTCTCATAAAGACCGAAATATAAAAGAAAATAAAGTATAAGTAGAGTTTTTACTTTTTTACTCTTTGTTAAATACTGGGGCTTCTTTTGGAGGGGGGTGCTGTTTTGGGATTTTTTTGTTTGTTTGTTTGTTTTGTAATACTGGGGATTAAACCCAAAGAGTGCTGAGCTACGTCTCTAGCCCCTTTTATTTGTTCTTTTGAAACAAGGTCTTGCCAAGCTGCCCGGGCTGCCCTCAGACTTGCAGTCCTTCTGCTTCAGAGTCCCAAGTAGATAGGGCTACAGAGGTATCCCACCACGCCCTGCCTCATTGTCTAATATTTATTTCAATTTTAACTCCAGCTCATTGTATATTTAAGTTTTTTATTGGAGAGTGGATGAAATGAGCAATACATGATTTTATTTCAGAGAAAAGTCCGGAGTTACTGCTAGAAAACAGACATGATGGAGACATTTAACCAGAGTAAGAAATGGGAGTCGGACCATATGGGCTGACAGTACCATAAATAAACCAGAGAAGTAGGGGAGAGATGAACAAATGACGACTCAAAACATAGACTTAGATATACCAAATGAGAGCTCTCTGGGTAAATACAAGGAGAATGAGTATTCGGGGCCTTGGCTTATTCTACAGAACTCAAGCCCTATGCCAGGATAACATAGAGAAAGGGAAAAAGGCAGTTTTAGAACTGGCAGAACCAAAATCAGATCCTGCCTTCACCACTCGTCTAGCCATATGATCTTTAAAAGAAGCTACTCTGATTTTCTAGGGCTTCACTTTCTCATCTCCAAAATGGGAAAAATAAAATTTAAATAGGATTACAATAGAAACTAAGCTAACACAGTAATTCTCAATGTTGTTTAGGTTGTATAATTAGAAGAAAGCCTGGATACTCTTAGAAGAGGATAAAGAAGCAATTTAAAGCTCACATTTAGGGGATCTTAGACTTTCAGCTCTTGCAGTTTTACAGATTTCTCTGGGCAATTTTTCCTAGGTAAACTGGAGAGAAGTTAACATTCAGGGTCAGGATTTCAGTCTAGAATTCAGATATCCTGGTTTCCTAGATACTACTGTAGTCTTCGATCACAAACTACCCATAATTTGCTAACCCTAAAATAATTGCAATAGAAAGCCAGGGTTTGAATGAGAGTCTGTTTCCCAAGCTATGTTTGACTGTTCTTCCTACTGCTCTTCTTACCAATGGTAGTGCGTAGCAAATCATGTTATATGGTTAAAGTGAAATAGGATAAGAAGCCAGGTAGGACTACAATGCATTGGCTGTATGTACAGAGCCCTAAGAGGGGAGAGAAGGTGACTTGTCCTAAGAAGAATGCAGGAGTGGGTGGCAAGGCTGGAGAGGAGATGGGAGCCTGGTGAGATCCTGGGGCTTCCTACCCTATTGTACTTTATTTATAACATGCTTTCTGAAACGATCCCGAGTATGTTTTGTTTTCGTCTCCTTCCCAGCGACAGCCTCCTTCCCGCACACAGTAAATCAGTGATTCTCAGCTGGGAATGGAAAGGGCGTCCTCAGGGAACATTTAGCCATACCTGGAGACATTTGTTTGTCACAGCTAGGATGCTGCTGGTGGACAGAGGCCAGGCATGCTGCTAACTCTGCTCTACAAGGCACATGATGACCTGAAATATCCGTAGTACAGAGCCTGAGCTATCCTGTAACAGATGCTTGCGGCAGAGATTACCAGTTTTCATCTCACAACATCCATCCTTTTATTTGTCCGATGTCATAAATGACCTGACTTTTGTATACAGCTGCTAAGCATAATGGCACTGCCGTGTCATTACACACAGGGGAAGGAGGAAAGTTATGAAGTGGTAACTTCCGTCTTTCTTCCTCTGTCTTGTTGCCTGAAACAGACACATGGCATGATCATGAAATTGAAACCAGGCAAAGTAGAACAAGACAGAAGGACGCTCTGCCCCTGTCAACACAGCACCACACCTGTCCTGAATTGCTCTCATGTCCAGTAGATTACACCAGATAGCATTAATATGTTGTCCCTCCTAACATCCTAGACACGCATAAAAAAATTAGACATTTCCTACATGGAATGGAACCATCAGCCTTTTTATCTTGCCTTTCATGTTAGGATGCTGATCAAAAAGTATAACCTCTGCTATCCGCATATGGATGTTTTATCAGCACCATGTATTGCGCTCCCGCAAGCTATGCATTTCACACCATAAGAGTTTACAAGAAAAGTAGACTGAGGCCTCCCCTCCCTTATCTTGGTGTGATGTAACACTATGAACACAAGCGCATTTAGCTGCATCACATTTAGGAAGGTAACACAAGTGCTTGACATGTAAACCGAGTAAGTTCGGAAGAACTTTCATTTCCTCCAGGGTGGTATTCTTGGTCATCAGCCTTCTTCCTAGATTTGAGCAAAGAATGTGTTTGAAGTTTTACCGCCCCCTCCAACCCAGGCCAAGCCACGTGTCTTCCTGGTTAAGCCACATTTCTCCAGAGTCTAACGCTCCTTCAGAAATCTGAATCACCACCTGTGGTAAAGAATTTCTGGCTCTTCGAAGGGCTACTAATTTCCTGGTGCACAAAGCCTCCTAGAGCACCACTTCTTAGCCAAAACTTCCTGGACTAACCCTCCACAGAGGTCTATTTGAAGAGGCTTTACTTTCTTTCTTGAAACAAAATATATAGTAAAAGAAAAGTAGAGATCTGAAGAAAAAAAAAATGCATTATCAGTTTAGTAAATTTTCTCACATATACACATACACAAACAGTTACAGAAATGAGGTCATGCTCAGTTTTGATACCTAGTGTTTTGTGACCTGATCCCTGCCCCATCAATAAATATTTTTCTGCAGTAAGCTTCTACAGCCTGCCTCTATCAGGTCAGAGAAACATCCCCCGAGGGGCCTGAGGGGCCAGGGGGTTTCCCAAGCATTTTTATGTCCACACATTCACAAGCTCCATGCTCCACTACCACCATGGAGAGTCAGGACCTAGGCAGCCAGTGCTGGCAGAGAGACTGCTGAAAGCACCCAGGACATGAGAGCAGAAAAGAGGGTTGAGACCCAGGGTCCTGTGACACTGTGTTTCTCTTACTCTTCTTGGTCACTTTTTCACAAGAATCTTTATGGCAAAAAGTACTCTGAACGTTGTAGGGCATAGTGGTTACATGGATAGACTTCATGGATTCAAATACCATCTCTATTACCCATTCTATTACCCCTCCTCTTCCTTCTTCTATACTAGGAAATAGAACCCAGTGGCTACTGAGGTATATCCCCATATCTTTTCTTTATTTTTACAAGACTAGGGATTGAACCCAAGTCCTTCCCACTGCGCTACATCTTCAGCCCTTTTTTAAAATTTATTTTGAGATGGTCTCACTAAGCCTCAAACTTGAGATGTTCCTGCCTCAGCCTCTCAAGTAGCTGGAACTACAGGCATGTGCCACCATCCCCAGCTGTCTTCATCTTTAAAGTGATTAAGACTACTTCATGGACTTGCTGAAAGGATTAAATGAGCTAATAGACATAAAGAACTCGTAACAGTTTCTGGTGGTAAGCTACTCCCAACATTATACAAAAAACAAGTGTCCAGTGGTAATTTGCTCCCAGTTTTTTAAAAAGATAATATGACAGAATTGTTGAATAGGACTTAAAAGTGGAAAACATTCTGGGGCTGGATAGTGGTGATGGTTGTACGATATGAGTGCATCTAACACCACTGGACTGATCACTTTGGAGGGTTAAGATCCTAAATTTTATTCTGTTTATTTTACCACAGAAACAGAAAAAGTGGGAGACCCCTAGTTTTATTTAATAAAAATCTCCTGTAGTGAGACTCATAGGTAGTTTGGGATGATTTTTCCTAACAACGATGGGCAACTGTTTGCTTGGCAGTACAATAAATGTTTATTTGGCTTCGATGTGGCTCAGTTCTAGTGCATCTAATTCTTTTCACATCACCCCTCCCATTTCCCATCTTCGGAGTACATCTTGTTGTTTTAAGATTATGGCAGGACTAGATACAATTTCAACCAACCCTCCTTAAAATACTAGTAAGTTCCCATTCCAGGCAGTGTTGTATTTTCCATCAAATCTCATTAGCAGATTTCCTGGTTTTGGTTGTTTTGTTAAACACATGAACTTTAACTACAACCATTTTTTCCTTTCCTAGTGATTAACAGTAACGATAGTAATGCGTGTACATACAATTGTTCATATATGTAATGTGTATAAATAATGTTTTTAGAAGGCAAAGGTGGGCAGATCTTGGGTTTGCGGAGGGAGGGGCTAGAGCAGATACATTTTGGGAAATCCTTTATAGAAAATTAATACAAAATTACCAAAACAAAATTATGTATGAATTTACTCAGAATAAGAACAACAAATTAAGGAAGCATTAGACATTTTGATCTTTCTGCTAAGATCTTGGGGCAATTTACCACCAATCCTTCCCAGCTGAAAGCGGGCTTCTGTTTTCTACTCTACAACTCTGATATTCAAAGGCACTTGTGCGCCCAGAGCCCTGAGCGTACGCTTTGTTGCCTCCTTGCAAACTTCTCTCTGGGAAAGAAACAGGAGAGCGAAGGTAATTCTCGCGCAGCAACCTCAAACTTTAAAGTAATACGAGCCACACTTTTTAAAATTATAGTGAATATATTCTTTTCTGTCAGTGGTCACATAATACTACCAGAAAACTTAGTGGTTCAAAACAACACATTTATTGTCTTACAATTCTAAAGGTCAGAACTCCGAAAGCAGCCTTATTGGGCCAAAGTCAGACTGTCAGCTGAGCTCCTTCGGGAGGCTCGGGGAGAACCAGCTTCCTTCTGCAGCTTCTACAGGCTGCCCGCATTTGTGGCCCTTCCATCTTCTAGGCTGCCAATGGTTGCTCAGGTCTTCTCTAACATCGCAGCTGTCCGACCCTGCCTTCCCCTTCCACATTTAAGGACCCTTGTGATTTCTCTGGTGCGTGCAGATAACCCAAGATAATCTCCCTACCTTACAGTCAGCCTTTTTTTTTTCCTTTGGCCACTTTACATTTACATACAGATTCTA